CTGGCTCCATCCCCGCCTCTTCGACCTGTTTGTTTCCTCTCCACCTATCCTCTCCTCTATCCCTCTTCTATCCGCCTCCCACTCTCTCCCTATTTATTTCAAAACCCTCTTCCCCTCCCCCTTTTCTGATGAAGGGTCTAGGCCCGAAACGTCAGCCTCTCTGCTCCTATGATGCTGCTTGGCCTGCTGTGTTCATCCAGCCCTGCACCTTGTTGTCTCGGATTCTCCAGCATCTGCAGTTCCTACTATCTCTGACATAATATGAACTGCTCTGTTACGCCATTGACAAATGAAATAGCAATCAACCTTAAAAAAAAAGATTTGAACAACAAATAAACTGTGTCCTTATTCTTTCAACTTCAGCAAACCATAGCACAAAATGCAAGCACAGCCTAGCAACAAATACAGTGCATTTCAAATAACTTTGGGATTCTATAAAACTACATAACTCAACAAAAATATGATAAGCTTGTTACAAGGCTCCTACACAATGTTTGTGAAAGGATATTTGATAAAATATTTGTGCTTCAGTCATATTTAGTGATATGACCTTAGCCAGTCAGAGCCTTATAACGCACTTAAGCAATCTGTTACTACATATTTAATACATGCAATAGCAGTTGTATAATGCATATCAACATTCAGCACCATGGATTCTCCCTCATATAATGTAATGTATCTAGTAGATGTTTGAGAAGTAATGGAAATACTGCACCATCAACAATCACAACAGTTTCAGGGTTTGGTTACTCATGACATTTTTCAGGGAGAAGTGATATTTGTTTACTAGTTAAAGAGGAACGCTGATAAAAATCTGGAAGCTGTTTAGTTGTCCAAAATCTTCATTTTTAAAAAATTCTTTCATTGGACATGGGCATCAGTGGCAATGCTAGTATTTGTTACCCGTCCCTAATTGCTAATTAGTGGACTGCTTGGGCTTTTCACTCAGTAGTTAAGAGCCAGCCACGTTAAAATGAAAATCACATGCCACCCACAGCAGATAAGAATGACAGGTTTCAATATATAAATCTGGAATTGATAGCAAGTCTTGGTAATAGTGACCATGAAAACATTGTCAATTGTTATAAACACCCAACTAGTTCACTGAGCCCTTTGGGGAAGAAAAACTGTTATCCTTTCTTGTGCTAGCCTTTATGTGACTTCAAACCCACAAAAATGTGGTTGGCTCTTAACTGCCTTCGAGGGCAATTAGGGACGGGTAATAAAAGATATAAATTTTAGAACAGAAATTTTGTTTTAAGTAGAAAGTATATGGTATAAGTAGAAAAGTAAAAATTGCCACAGTCTTACCAGACCTTACGGCTGCTGTCTCATGACAGAAAGAGAGATGATTGGTAATGGTTTAACCTGAGGGTCACCATAGCTCAGCTGAGAGAAGAGGTTGAAAATGAGAGTCCTTCATGGTAACCTCAGGCAGCATGAGAATTGAACCCACACTGCTGGCGTCACTCTGTATCACAAATCAGCCATCCAGCCAACTGAGCTAACTGGCTCAAATACAAGCACCACACAGTTTCTGGTTTCTGAATTAGGAACAGAGGGAGATCTTTCCACCCATTTACAGCCTTGATAGTCCATGCTAAAACAACAGCAGCAGTTAAGTATAAAATAATGATCACCTGCTATTTGCATTGTCTGCACCAAACACAAGCTGATGACAGCTAAAGCCAATCCATCTTACTCAAGCTTGAAAGTGCCTGCCATTCACCAGAGCTAAGTCCCATTCCAGTTTCCCATGAGAAACAGCAACAAAATATTTTCAGCCTCAATCCTGCCTAATATAACTGATATTGAGAAAATTTGCACATATTTTATTTAGCTTGGCAACAGCATGTCTTATAGAATGCAGCATGGCCACTTGTACTGGAACTGGAAACCAGTCACAAAAGAGGCCAGTACTTACAGCTAAATCCTCAATTAGTTTCTCCTCAAATGAGTACTCCTCTGTCTCTATCCATGATTTCTGATAACTCTGAAGGAAGAGGTTAACAGCACGATGCCTAGGAAGCGGGAGGGTATAGTAAGATCAGGAGGAGTAGGAGGTGAGACACAGTTTTTTTTAGTAGATTAAGGGAGACTGTATTATTTAAAATAACAGATAAAAACCATTAGTAGAGCTTTGTACAACTCCTGCTCTCTGATTGGTCAATGGTGTCATAATCTCAGATCAATTAGAAGTGCGAATTACTTTCTGATGTCTTTTAGGGTGTAGATGTTGAATATAGTATGATTCAAATGGACAAAAAAAACAAAGATATGCTGACTTTCTCTTACTATTACTGTTATAACCTTCATAAATTCCACGCAGAACATTTGTTTAATTATAATCCATATTAAACTACAACTAATTCAAGCATTGGAATCAGTGAACAAATCAATTATGATGTCTTTAGGGACTAACTGAACCAAGTATCCCTTAATACACTTCCGTCACAATCTTAGAATAATTTTGATACTCACCTTCAGGGTTAAAGTCGCTGGCATAATCTGTTTTACTGTTCTCCGTTATATCTACATTCATACATATTGTCAATACACATCTTCAATTAACATGGGATGGCGACAATAGCTTTCATTTATATCTTGCCTACAAAGTGGTAAAGACGTCCCAAGATGTTGAGCAGTTAAGTGCAGTGCAGATTATTTATATATTTAAATATTTGCACTGCTTTTTGCTTTTGCCACTTGGATGCAAGGTTTGCAGAGGCTTTTTATTGACTGACTGACCAATCAGATTCTGTAAGGCTCATTGTACAAACTGAAGACAGGAGGTGCGTAAAGGAGAGTGTTTGAAAGGACAGAAGCTGTGCCTATGAAGCAACTGTTACTTTACCGTCAAATAGACGATAAGACTCTCAAAGTCAGTGTTCTTATATAGCTTTTCCAGCCACAGATGTTGATAGGAGTTCAGGAAGTAAATGTTAATTTTGTGTCTAAAGAAAAGGGATACATTTTTTTTTGCATTGATCAATTGAAAGCATAGATATTTTCCCTGAGTTTTCTGTTGGATGCTGCACTATACTGGGTAAATTAAGACAAAGCAGCTATAAATATTTTCTCTGCATTAAGGTTTTACATATTATGATGATTTTATTTTTAAGTAGTACATAAATAAATGTTTGTCAAAGACCTCCATCTGATCATTCCATTCAATTATTCTAACTACTGTATTAATTATATTTTCAAGAGCACAGATGTTTTGTATAACTTATAATTAACAGACATAATATCATGACTAGCTTTATGAAATGTCCTTCAACACAATAAATGCAGTTTTGACACATCGCACAGTTAAAATGAATATTTAAGGTGTGGACTTGCATGCGATTTCTCACATGCCAACCTGAGGTGGGGGTATTAGGCTACAGGGAGAAATGAGTCTTCCTGCAAGATAGGAGCGCAGGAAGGCAGCTACATGTCTTTAGCCAAACCACAGAGCAGCAGAACATTTATTTACACTTTGGATCGAGGAACACAGGATAAAAGAAAATTTTAAGATGAGAAAACAATATGAATAATGGTTGGGCATGATTGTTAAACAGTGTGGAACAAAATGCTATATTCACAATACCAGCTTTAAAAGATAAGTTGTATATCCTAAATGAAAACTAAAATACAAGACCACATGATAAAGGCTAAATTGGAGAAATAGTTGCTAGTATAATTTGTCTCTGAATATATGAACATGCAGCACCACTTCTACCTTGGCAGATTATACAGAGGTGCCATCCTGAAGCAGGCAACAACTGCTCTTTTACGTTGCTTGGACAACAGCTTGTGCCACCCCGTTTTCTTTGACCGTAATGGTTGCTCCACCTTTAAAGAAAAAAACAATTAACTAGGGATCTACTATTATTATTTGTATACAAAAACAAGATAGAAACCAACTACTGAATTAAGGTAAATAAGAAATACACTATTCTTCAGAATTCACTGGTCAATGTGTGTCACTCTGCTGTTTGCTTTACATAGAAGTATCTTGCCTTAGACACTCCATTAATTTTTTTTTAAAGAATTTGCTGGATTTCAATATTCCTTGCTCACTAAATTTGCCATAGCAAGTTATGGCTGGAAATTAAAAACAAAAGTATCTCCTAATGGCATGATGTTTATTAATGTAAGGTTGGGTATTTAAATAAAATACTTCTGCCTCATTTATCTCTTTCTCTTAATCCGGTGTCTATTGTGTCATCTTTATTTTGCTTTCTGTATGTTAGTAGTTAAACCTAACCATTATTTTCTGGTTAATACTCCTTTGTTTAGTCTGTATGTGTCTCAGCTAGAGTTTTACAATCGATCGGTTCAAGAGTCCCACTGCTGTTTGACTGTGTGTGTGTGTGTGTGTGTGTGTGTGTGTGTGTGTGTGTGTGTGTGTGTGTGTGTGTGTGTGTCAGTGAGAGTTTTTTAAATCTGATCAGTTGAAGAGTCCCATTGCTGTTTGACCCACAGATGACACAAATCCATAGTAAAGGATGCCATGTTAGATGCAGGATGAGAGCAAGTCTTGATTCTAAAGCCTGCAAGAGCCTTGAGAACAGCTGTCAGAGAGGTAAATGGTAAGTGTTTTCCTTCCTCCTGACCACAACATCCTTGCCGTGGTTTACATTTGGTTTAAGCACATTTATATCAATTTTAGTTTGCTTTCAAATTTAGGATGGTCCATTTACACTAATGTTTTGTCGGTAGTTCTTATCCATAATTGTCTGTAGTTCTTATACATAATTGGCAATGAATGGACAAGTTAGTGATAAACAGTGAGGCATTTGGATATAAATTTCATTATGAGCATTTAAGTACCTAAAATATCTCACCTTAAGCTATGGCAACTTTGTGGAGCCAGAAAGGATAACTTGAGATCTAGTACTTTCTTCTTTGGCTAGGCAATTATATAGTAGATTTATATTCCGAGATCTCTCTATGGTCAGTATCTATTAACTTACCTTATCTTTCCAACAGGTGTTATACAATTTTTAAAATATACCATTCAATACTACAGAAAATAGAACTATTTGCACTTGGCTTCACAAATCTGAAGATTTCCAACAGGATTTGCTCTGAAACAAAACAATCCTGAGAAATCCCCAGCAAATGGATAAGTAATTTTCCCTAAATCTGTTCAATAATGAGTAATTTCAAACTTGTCTTGCTTTCAATTATTCTGTCAAGGGTGTATTAATCTTCTGGAGATGTTAATTGCAGTTCTGTAGCCTTATTACAGTGGAGATTAAGCAAACACAGTACTTAATGCATCCAGTTACTAAGTTTATCAAAAGCGTACATGAGGTCGACAATGAGTACAAACTGCATGTACAGCCCTCTACATATAAATCGGTGTTCCTTCCTGATGGGATATTTGCACATTTTTATACAACGGCAATTGAAAAACCTTTGATTTTGTGAGTTGACTAAAATTCAATCTCATAGATTTAAGAGTGAGTACTTTCCAGTTGACTTAATAATTAAAGAACTAAAAATATTTCTCATTTTATAATAGCTCAGTGATTACCCCAGAGATTTAGATTCTGATATAATTAAGAGATCCATTCTTGTATTGCGATTGCAGTTAGAGGAACTACTTCCACTTTTGCTAAGGGACTAACATTTGTATTTTTACATAGTATTACCCTCTTTGGTAATTAATCCCTTAATGATTGCAAATGCTTTGTCTAAATTACCTGTTCCAAATGGAATATAGCAGCTGAAATCTTTTGCAGACGCTCGACAATCTTCTGAGGATCCATCCTCTCTTCTGGCTTGGCAATATCTTTATATAGGTTAAGTTGCCACTTAACTGCTGGGTCATCAGACTGCATGGGAGAGTGAAGAATCATTAATAACAATGGCAAGGGAGCAAAACAAGTGAGATGGAAGTAGATTTTCCACCTGACTCAAATAGAACATCAGTCTGTCCTTATTTCATAGGGCGTAGCTCCGTAACTCTACTTGTGTAGGCACATGATGTTTTGAAACCAGTAAATTTCCATCATCTAGGCTGATTGTGAGAAAATGCACATTTAATTCCTTTTCTTGATATATTGGGCATGCCAACGGACCAGGAATAAAGCTGACCTTGCAGCCATTGCATGCTGTGGGCTGGCTGTTTTGCCAAATTGTGTGAAATGCACCCCTCATTGTGGAGGAAGGCCTGCCATGAGGAGCTGCCAGCCAATCTTAAACAGTAGACCCAGCAGCACCACTAACTCAATAATGGTCACTGCCAGTACTGCAGGCATGTCCATGAAGAAGACAGCACAGATCCTGACCTAACGTAAATCTAAGTTATTGGGATTTGGAAGCTTCGGGAGGAGTAGGGTGAGGAGGTCAGGGCTGAGATTTTTAAGGCGGGTAGTTGAGGACGAGAAGAGAAACAGCGTCTTCAGGAGTTGGGGATGGGGTATCCCCGTTGTGCAAAGGGCAACCCCATTATATCCTCCTTTCTTTCTGCCATTGCTTGCTCATTCCCACTTGGCTGCCCATGCCAGATATAGTTTAGCTTTGTTAAATCTCAATTGGCCCTTAATTTTTTATTTATATATGGTAGGCTGCCCCTTCAGTGATTGTTCACCCTGTGTATTATGGGGTTGAGATTGAGGGTGGGTGGGAAGTTGGACGGCTGACCACCCAACTTCTACTTTGTGCCCACCTGCTGAAAATACACCTTGATAGATGCACAGAAAGTCCAACACATTGCCAAAGAAGATTTGAACTACTAAGCAGTCAGTCAGTCTGAGACTGCCTGGGCTAACTCTAACAAAATAAAGGGCTGGACTTTGGGCACAAGTCCTTTTTTTTTGAAGACATTGGCAGTTATGTTTACATTAAATACTAGATTACAACTTCTTTATTATGAAGGAGGTTAAGTAACAAACAAAATCAAGATGGAAAAAAAACAGCAAATACTGGAATACATAGAAGAGATTGGATCATCTGAAAGTTAAAGTCTGACTCACATTTTACGTGTGACCTTTCAATATAACTGAAAACAAAATACAGTTATTGACAGGTATCACCTGTAACCAAAGCTACAAAGATATGCAAACATTAACATTACCTTATCCTGCAAATGCATGTTATTTGTAAGGAATTCTTTAACTTCTTCATCTGTGTCTTTCTGTTGGTAGATAACACATTGTATCATAATAATTCCATTGCAAAACTAAAGGGAATTCAAAAACTGTTTAAAATGAAAATAGATTTTAAATTACTAAACTGCATTCCCCTAATTGTGAAACGGTGCTAATATAAAAATTTATGGACAGTACAAACAATAGCTCAACTAAGACACGGTATGAGTATTGCCAAAACTTTTTGATTTAACTGCAGGAATCAATCTCCATATCTAGAGATAATTCACCACAACAATGAACAATAATAGCTAATCAGTCTCAGCTTCTGTTTTGTTTATAAATGTACAACAAGACATACTTGGCAAAAGAGCACCACACTCAAAGTAACAATGGGATTAATGGTATAAGTTAAGGCACTGTTTAGATGAAATGAAATCATAACCTATATTGAATCAATTCTGCCCTAGGAATATTTGATATGGATTTTGAGTAGAAAAACAATTAGTATTTAATGTCATGAATATAAATTGAAGCAAAATCTGAGAAAAAACACATTAGATGCAAGTTTGCTATTCCATCGACCTTGCTGAGTCTGATAACTAATTAAGCTTATGATGAGTAAATAAAATTTGGATGGCATAGAACCAAGAAGAAAACTGGAACATTACCAGACTGTATCTCTGTTTGGCCAATGAGATTAATTCTTGGTCTCCTGCAGTGCACATATTTAAACCGATCGGAAGCAGTTTTTTAAAAGCAGCCACAATCAGGGACGTTCGTATTGAGTAGTAGTCACCTCTGCGTTTTATTTTTTTCCTTTCCTGGCATTGCCCTTCAGCCTAAAATAAATGAAATTTTGCACAGCAATGAGATGTTTTGAACTGATGTTGTTTATTAGTATAACTATATTTAAGATTGAGAACTTACATAGAGATAATGCCTTTTCAGTGGGTAATGTGTTAGGAAAACAGGAATATTGTACTGCACAAACTGGTACAGAGATGCTGTGAATTCAAAATATTGGCAGAAAATATAAATTCAACTCATTCACACTATTCCACATGTGATGGGACCAGGATTGGCTTCTTCAGCCATCAGCAAAGCTGTGCAAAATGAAGACATCATCTGAAATGGATTGCTAGCTGTGTCTCAATCAGCTGATGCCAAAAACGCCATTCCATGCAACCATTCCCTTCTGTTCCTGGTGGTCCGCTGAGCCGACACATAGATCCAAAGGCAGGAATTGCCTTTGATTATTGAGTAGTCAATAAGTCTATAAGAAGTCAATGATTTTTCCTAAATATATTCAGACAATGAATGCTTGCAAAATGTTTGACTAAAGGGACATTAACATTGAGCTAACACTTACTGGACATCCAAACACACAGGTCTTACACCAGAGATCACTGAAACTATGACTATACTTAGTGTCTGGTTTCATCACCTCCGTAACGACACTAAGTGTAGTATTCCAAATGCTAGCTAAATCAGCACAGGCCATGGATCAAACCTGGAATTTCCGAGTCTGAAGAGATGAGTTCTGTAACATCATGTATTAAGCCACTGGAAGAAACTTAGCATTTGAGAAATTGCACAGACTGCACGTCAGGCAGTATCATCACCAGGATCATTGCTGAATAATTATACATGTCTTTTGTATGAATTAAGTAAATGACACAGTGGCTATTATCTCTTTCATTAAAAATAAATTAAGCTAAGCTTATTTTATCTAATTTTCATCCAGCTACAGTGAAATACAAGGATAGAATTTCATAAATATCACTGTCATATATGCATAAAAGTATCATAAATATGATCCATAGAACTGTTACTTCCAGACATGTATAAATGTTACGCACCAGCGCAAGTAACACAAAGATGTTAATACAAATGGAATGGATTGATAAGCTGTGATTGTGGTAGGTTAGCTACATACTAGCTTTTTTTCTTAATATGATTAACTCTCAGTATATCTCAGTCTCTATCAGGTTTATGCTCATGTTTTATGTCAGTACTGCTGCAGCTATGAGCACCCATAGCACTTTTACATAGAAAGGAGGCCAAGTGGTGAAATTTATCAATAAAATAAAAGTTATATCATCACCAGTCTGCTTGAATAGAGTTAACTTTGGTACAGTAGGCTACATTCTGGAAAAAGCCTCAGAACTGTATAATACATTATAGAGTGATACAGCTTAGGAGAAGGTTATTCGGTCTATCATTCCTGTGCAGGCTCTTTAGTAGAGTCAGCCAAATAGTTCACTCTCGTCTGCTTTTCCCCATAGCCTTGCCATAATTTTTTAAAATCCAATTTCCTTTTGAAAGTTCCTGTTCAGTCTGCAACCACCATACTAGCAGATAGTGTATTCCAGCTCACCATAAATGCTGCATGTAGAAAAATCTCATGTCTTTTGCAAATTGCCTTCAATCTCTGTCCAATGGTTACCAATGGAAGAAGGTTTTCTTTATTTACTCCATCAAAACTGTATCATTCGATTTATATTTCTACTACTCATTCTATCCAAAAAAAACAAACATGTCTCACTTCTCTGCATTAATTTTTCAATTCTATGATCTTTTTAACTATCTTGACATCATCCTTATAGCTCACACACAGGGGCAGAGGCAAAGCAAGAGATTGGGACTAGGTGACTTGCTCTTGCTGACAGCTGTCACTTGGCACCATGAACTGAATGGTATCCTTCAGTGCTGCAACCCTGTCTTTCCAGAATTTCTGAGTTTTGTATCATCTGCAAAATTCAGGTCTCTAATATTTATCAAAGAGAGCTCAGGTCATAAAACCAAACCCTGGGAAACCCAAATGTATATTTCCCTTCAATCTCCTCTTTGTCCCACCAGTTCACGTTGAATGGCCACTTGTATCAGGCTTCCCATTCAGAAATCTAATAAAATGTAACTAGATTCTGACTGAGATCAGAGGAACTGAGGTTACAAGTATTTGACATCATGAAGGGACTTACAGGACAGAAAGAGAAAAACTGCTTCCGTTGATGTTAGGATTGAGTACTGGTGGGCACAAAGTGATTGGCAGAGGAACTATCAGCAAAATGAGTAATACTTTTCCTTTAGCACATTTCAGAAATATTCAGAGTGTGGAATGCACAGCCTGGGAGTGCGGAGAAGGTAGATTCAATCATGTCTTCCAAACAGAATTGGATTCTTATCTGGAAAGGAAACATTTATAGGGAGACTGGGTAATGCAAAGGAGTGGCACTAGGTGAATTGTTCTTGCAGAGAACTAGCATGGGAATGATGGGCCAAATGGCTTCCCTGCTGTGCTAGAACCATTCCATGATTCTTGGATGTATAAGGCAACTGCTATTCACTAGGCAAGTGCCTCCAACTGTGAAGACAGCTGGGAATCACATTTCACCCTATTCCCATCAGCTAATTTAAGTTAAACCTTTTCCCCTATGTCTTCTCCTCAGTGGCTGATCCTCTTGCTGGACATACAATGCCTCAATTGGGTTTTCAAGTTCTCAAATGATATCCACTAGAACTGCATTAGTTAAGTAAGACTGATCACTTCAGAACACAGAGGAGATAGTCCCACCTACTGTAAAGCAATTGGTTGACACACCAATCAGCTCACTTGAAATCTTAAATTTCCCACTGCCCTGATAATGTGATTTTACCAAAATTTGAGTAAATCAATCATTAAGCTAACTTTACTGCTTGAGAACGGTACAATATCCTCATTCCATTTTACTTGAACCTTGCTTACAGCTTCAAAAATCACAGATAAAGGCAGCATTTATTTCCCTCATGATGTTCTCCAGTTTTACAATGTTTATTGCACAACATGCAATTACCATATTTATTCTGACTTAAATGAGTAACTGATGATCACCTACAAAACCAGTCAGGTGATGTTAGATGCATTTCCCTCCTACTTTAGTGAAAGCATTAATCTTACATTTTCCATGGAATTGTTAATAAACTGTAATAAATAATCCAGCAAGTTCCAGGCAGCAATTCAATCTCACAGTTCTGGTCACATTAATAAACAAACCATTTGATTGAATTCACTGCCCGTTACTTATTCTATTAGTTTAGCTATAATTTGCATTGAAGCTTTGCTTTGAAAGCTATATTGTTGTTTATGGCACATTCTTCTTGGTAGCTGTACAATTTATGACAAGCACAGTTAGCCTTCTGCAAAGGTTTTAGACAGTGAGCATAGTGCAGTATTCGGGGACCTGCATATGCTGTGAATATGATCATTTTAGAAAAACACAACTGAATCTGCCAAGCTAGCTGTGGAGCTATTAGCATGATGAAACAATCATGCAGTCTGACCTTTTGGCCAACTTGTTTATACTGCTTTGAAGAGGAAAAACGCAGGGGGAGAAAATGAATACAAAAATGTTAGTAATAAGTTAACATAAAACAAAATAATTAAAACAGTTAACAGAAATATATTTCACACATTTTAACTTTATTACTGATCTGTGTTAAAAGCAAAACAAGAGATTAAGAATATCAACTTGGCAGTTAATTGTATATCAATTGATTTTATTATTGCTGTAAATTAATGCAAAACATTAATGGGTGATTCACAATGCAATTTCTATTCTAATGGCTGGCATAGGGACTCAGTGGATAGCACTGCTGCCTCATAACGCCAGGGACCTGGGTTCAATTCCAACCTTGCATGACTGACTGTGTGGACTTTGCACATTCACCCCGGCTCTGCGCGGGTTTCTGCCGGGTATTTCAGTTTCCTCCTATTGCCCAAACGTGTACAGATTAGGTGGATTAGCCATGCTTAATATGGTGTAATGGGGATGTTATCTGGGGCTGGGTGGGATGCCCTTTGGAGGGTCGTGCAGGCTTGATGGGCTGAAAGGCCTCTTTCTGCACTGGTGGGATTCTATGACCTTTCTGTCTACAAGAAAGGAGGTGATAGCATTTGGAAATAAGGCTTTCCATTCTTACACAATCACCATGACTAAGTCAGCTATAGAATAGTTGTCAGCAGAAAAATAGCTCCAACAACATTGCTTTACCCCAACCTCAGAAAAGTGACCAAGTCAGTGTTAATTTTCCAAATCATTGTGCCAGATGTCCTTAGAGCCTTCCTTAGTAACATTTCTCCAAATTGATTAAAAATTGGTGATTGGTACTGTGAAGCTTGACATACAAGGAATTAGATCAAGCATGTCTAACTTCTTTATATATTTGATCTATAAGTTATAGGGAAGCTTATTTTTACTAGTATCTGCTACTTGTGCAACATAAAGTCAGCTACATGTTTTCAACATTTATCAATTCCTAAATGACCAGTCAGAGTTCTTTCACAATGAAAATCTCACATGGAACCTCAATTTGGTTTATACATATTATTTTCTATTGATGCAATTTGATATTTTCATATTGTCTACAAAAGGAGTAAATCACCTTGCTTTTTCAGCATAATTTCAATGAAGCACATTCCCTATTACTGAATACAGGAAATATCTCCTTTCTTGAACTTCAAATATTATTTTGAGATTAAAATATGAACTTTCAGCTAAAGATCATATTTTGCACACTAAAGTAAATATCATGAATTCCTGCTAAGACAACCTTAGAATGGTTCCAGCAGTTGTATCTATACAAAAGCTGAGGCTATTTTCCCTGTGTAAGCACCATAAATATTATGGCCATTTAATATTACGGCTGGAAATCTAGTGTCTTATTTGCCTAGTGTTCCAAATACATCTTTCAAAAGGGTCACTGGATAACAATTAGAAATCCTGACTGATATTTTTCCCCTTTTCTTTGCTTGAGGGTTATGCTCAACTGCAGTGTCCCAAGTACTGCCTTGTCTACATTATCCCATGAAACACTGGGTCACCTTACCACGAGGGCAGATTCCTGGTTATCTCAACATCTTGAGTTTTGGCCCACTACATAAGATGTCACTTTTCTTCATTTCATGCAACTTGAATTTGGACAATGATTAAACTGATCGCCTGGGCTTGGCATTTTTGATTGTCTTTATTGTGCCAAAATTGTATTGACATTACTACGTTGTGGTATTAATATACCTTTTGCTACGAGAAAGAACAAATAACTTCAAGTTTTGACTATAGTAAATAATGGCAATGTCAACAGGGTATATTATGGAGTATGCTATGAGAGAATTTTTAGTTTATGGAATTCAGTAACATTATTACAGTTATGCATTATTAAATATTGCAGTTTCTTAACAGATATTTGGCAATTATATCACAGCATTGTTCAAACTTTATCTCAGAAATATCCCATTACAGTATTATATCCAGTAGATATGTCATGCAAGTTAAGTAATTTATTGATATTTACCTTAGACATCTTGCTCTTATTATCTGCAATCAGGAAAGCCATGTTGTTAATTTCATTTTGAATCACAAAGTTTTGTTCCTCTCGCTTGAAATTCTGTAAAACAGCCATTTATATTGAGATAAACTTAAGGTGATCAATAAAATTATGTACAAAGCAACGTGAGGATGCATAATTTATTTATATTAATATCATTTTTGGAATTTAGATTTCAAAATAGGTGAATGTTGGTTACTTATGTAAAGAATTTCCTTTTTTTAGAAGAAATACAAGGTCAGAGACTCCTTCTGAAACAGTGACTATTCATCATAAAGCAAGAATCTGCAGGCACCCATGGTGCTAATAGAAGAATGTTTACCCTATTTGGTTTATGACAGGCAGACTGAACAAGTTTTTGGCTCAGAACAGTATAGGATTGAGCAGAAGATACTGAGGTTGAGTTGAAAAGTAGTTAAGAGTTCTGAAGAAGGGTCGCTGGACCTGAAAAGTTAACCCTGCTTTCTCTCTACAGATGCTGCCTGACCTGCTGAGTTTTTCCAGTAATTTCTGATTGTGTTTAAAAGTAAATTTAGTTTTTCTCCTATAAGGAGTATTAGGAAGTTCAAAGAATGAATCAGCCCAAAAAAATGTTTGTGAAGAGCATGATTAGTTTTCTCCAGGTTATTAGAACTGAGAAATAAAATACTCCCTAATTTGGGAAAAGTTCATGTCAGCAGATTTAAAAAGGACTCATCAATTGGCTAAATAGTCCATGGCAAAGAAACTTTGAAGAGTCAGTTTATTAGAAACTTAAGAGTTGAGATAGGGGGGCATTTTCTTTGTACTTGTCTCGGTAATGGATAGCATCAGGAACCACTTCGCTGTGTGTTTTAAAATCATTGTAACTGTCTCCTATATTTTAAAATTTCTTTTGTAAAATAATGTTGTATTCTGTTGTGAAAGAAAGTCTCATGTCTCAGTACAAACCATCATGTCAATTAACTACACACAAAAGTAAATCTCTCAAGCCAGATTTCATTTTCATGTAAAGTGGAGGCGTTCCATTAGCTGGGATCATAACAGATATTATACAACTTCACTCTGCTAGCTATGAATATTTCTGCACTGATAATCCCACAATGCTTACTGCATTCTCTCAAATAACCTTATTCAATAATTGCTTCTTAACCTGTTCTCTGGGCTAGCTGGCCCCAGCCATCAATGCTAATAACCTGCTCACACCAGTTCTTGTGTACAGGGCAAGTTATCAATGAATATGCTTAAAATGCCCTAATCTGTTCAGTCTCCTCTTTAAGTAATACACAGCAACAATGCACTTTGGTGTACTGATGTTCCCAACATGATCTATTGAACACACACAATAAAAGACAAAAGCAAAATACCTCACGTACTGTAAACCCAAAATATAAACTGAAATTGCTGTCAATATCTGCAGCGTGAAAGATAGAACTAATTTCTGGACAACGGCATCCATAAAAACTCAAGATCACAGGATTTCAAATATCAAGGAATCAATTTCTGGAATTGACATTGGTGCTAAGTATAACAGGGCAATTTAACAAACCCCAGAAACGTTGTGAACATAGATCACAAGAATTAGGATACACCAGTTGATTGCAACAAAGAGTAGTTTAACATCTCAAGTTTGTTCAATGTTCCAGAAATTAATAACTCTTCTCTAAAGTGAGCAACTATTTATCTTAAAGCACACATATGCTTAAATCAGTTTGTACATGAGTTTGTTAGTTACTTACATGTGATTTGCACCAATAGATGAATATCTCAGCCACCATATGGAAGAGTTCATCAGCATCTGCATCTGGTTCCTTCATCCACCTTGGCCTGGGGGACAAAATATATATAGTAGTTGAAACAGATTATTTTCAACCTGATGCAAAAAAAACTTCAAATTTATTTAGAAAAAAAGAAAAACTTGCTACGAGAAAATCGATTTCAGTCTTAAGCACATCATTTATCCAAATTAAAGGTGGGCAGAGTTATGCAAAGTGCTCCTCATTCCAGAAGTGGCCAAAAGCCAACACGGCTGGAATAATTCCACCCTATCACCATATCATGTTTTCATGGTGGAACAAATTGGTTAAGAGTGGGACTTCTGTCCCTCAATGATAGGAAGACCCACCCTTAGAGGGTGGTAGCCAGTCATCACTGCCTGCCAGGCCAGAGTTCAGTAGTGAGGCTGCAGGAAGGAGCATGAAGATCATGACTGTCCCGGAAAGATAATCGTTGAGCTTATAGGGCAGGGAGACATCCTAGAGTCGGAAGTAGGGGACTGGGTTTTGAAGGACAATTGGCAGGGAAGGGAGGAGGGATTGATTATTTCTGGATGCTATGCTTTATTAGGGAATAAAACAAAACAGTACAGCACAGGAACAGGCCCTTGGCCCACCATGTCTGTACCAAACATGATGCCATTCTAAACCAATCCCATCTGCCTTCATATCCGTCTATTGCCTGCCTGTTCATGTGTCTGTCTAAATGCCTCTTAAACTTTGCTAATGTATTAACTTCTACCACCTCCCCTGGCAGCACATTCCAGGCACCTACTAATCTCTGTGTAAAAAATTTTCCATGCATATCACCCTTAAACTTTTCCCCTCTCACTTTAAACCTATGTCCCCTTGTATTTGATATTTCCATCCTGGGAGAAATACTCTGACTATCCACACCTCTTATAATTGTAGATACTTATACAGGTCATCTCTCAGCCTCCGATGCTCTGGTGTAAACATTCCAAGTTTGTCCAACCATTCCTTATAGCTAATACACTCCAATCTAGGCACTTCAATCTGGTAAATCACTTTTGCACCCTCTCCAAAGCCTCCACATCCTTCTTATAATGTGGTGACTAGAACTGCACACAATACTCCAAATGTGGCCTAACTAAATTCTTATACGGCTTCAACATGACCTACCAACTTTTATATTCACTGCCCTGATCGATGAAAGCAAATAGGCCATACACATTCTTTCCTAACTTATCCCCAAGCAGGTGCTCTACTCCCAGCTTTGAAATGGCAGGCAAGTCCCAAGTGGACAGAGGAAGTGCTTCAGGATACCCTCAAGGCTTCACTGGCAGTGCAGTATTCCCACAGATACTTGGGAATCACTGGCCCAAGACTGTCCGACGTGCAGGAGGAGCATCCAGGAATATGTCGTCACTTGCCATTGGGCAAAAGTAAAAGCCACTGAAAACAGCAAAAGGGAGTGCACTGCCACACCAATTCCCAACCCATCCCTTTCCGTGACCACCACTTGCCCCAAGTGTGATGGAGCCTACGGTAGCCGCATCGGTCTATACAGCCATCTATGGACTCATCCTGAGAGTGGAAGAGAATCATCTTCATCTACAAGGGACTGCCAATGATAATGATCCACCTATGTTGCGACTTTCAGGGAGTGATGGACTGCGATCCCTAATCCTTCTGTATGTCAATGCTCCTAAGGGCCCTGTCATTTACTGAGTGCTTTTCTCTTGCATTTGACCTCCCAAAATGCATCACCTCACATTTGTCCTGATTAAACTTCATTTTTCTGCCCAACTTTCTAAATGATCTGTACCTGCTGTATCCTTTGATAACGTTCCTCACTATTCACAACTCCATCAATTTTTGTGTCTGAAAATGTACGAATCAAATCCTTTATGTTTTCCTCTTACTCATTTATGTCCGTTACAAATAACAGAGGTCCCAGCACTGACCCTTGTGGAACATCACTGGTCACATACATCCAGTCAGAAAAGCACTCCTCTGCAACTACCCTCTGACTTCTATGACTAAGCCAATTTTGTATCCAACCTGCCAACTTACTATGGATCCCACATGATAATCTTCTGTACTGGCCCGGACCAGAACATGAGGGAACTAGTCAAATGCTTTAGTAAAGTCCATGGAGACAACATCCACTGCCCTACCCTCATCAATTATCTTCATCACTTTCTCAAAAAACGCAATCAAGTTTGTGACACAAGCCACGCTGACTATCCATAATAATTCTATTCTTTTCCAAATGCAAGTAACTCCCGTTCCTAAGAATTTTCTCCACTAATTTCCCTACAACTGATGTAAGGCTCACTAGCCTATAATTTCATGGATCATCCCTGTTGCACTCCTTTATCAAAGGAACAACACAAGCTATTCTCCAGTCTTCTGGTATCTCTCCTGTGGATAAAGAGGATACAGAGATCTCTGTCAAGGACCCAGCAATCGCCTCCCTTACCTCCTTCAGTATCCTGGGATAGATCATATCAGGTCCTGGGGACTTATCTATCTTAACATTTTTCAAGATACCCAATACCATCTCCTTCCTAAAATCAGCATATCCCTCCCTAATCTTACCATCCTCCATGTACTTCTCCTTGGTGAATATACATTAAAGACCTCATCCACTTTCTCTGGCTCCATGCATAAATTCCCTCCTTCGTCCTTGAGTGCACCTATCTTTTCCCAAGTTAGCCTCTTGAGGCTAATATATGTAAAAATGCCTTGGGATTCTCCTTAATCTTACTTGCCAAGGACATTTCATGGACCGTTCTAGCCCTCCTAATATCTTAAGTTCTTTTCTACTTCCTCTATTCCACAAAGGTATTAATTGATTTTAGTTTCCTGTATTTTACATATGCTGCCTTTTCCTTTTTGACTAAATTTTCAATAATGCAGGGTTTTACATGTGCAGCTCAGTAAAGGAAAAATCTATTTTCTAAATTGGGATGCAAGCTGAGAGACTAGAATGGCGGTTGTGGAGTGGAGATTTGATGGCCCTGGAATTGGCTGCATGGTCCCTTTAAAGGCCCGCATTTTTCTTTGGAGTGGTTACGGTATAACGTAATGAGCTGTGAGGTTTGATAGCTAACAGCAACAAAGCCTGAAAAATTATAGCTGTCCAATTCCATCTTTGTGTGCCTGTATCCTTGATGCTTCGGATCTCCCAGCCCACACGCTGCTCTCCAGCACACTGAGGGTGGGAAGTTACTCTACTTCCTCCCCAAACCCTGCATCAAAAGCTCTTTCCACCCCTCCCATCAATCAACAACCTTCTCCACTCGTCCAATTTTTGCTCTGGGGTCGTAACAAATGTTTTGGTGGTACAGGCTTGATGGATTGAAAGGCTTCTTCAGTACTGCATGATTTTAAAGAAGTAGTATGAAAACGGGGTCACGGGGAAAAAAAATTTGGGAAGCACTCATTTAATAAATGTTGACTTTAGTCTGTAAAGTTTCTACAGTCGTTGGAAACCCTCATACTTAACCAGGGTGGTCATCACATAGTTCTCTTAACATAGTGTCAGAAGAGCAATTGATAATCTCCCTCTGATCCTCATCACCTATGGTACTATCAAGAGAAATCTTTTATCGGCAAAATTTGTTGCATCGATTTTCTGCTGCTATTTAGGTTTAATAACATGTTACAATAATAATGTTGTCATTTTTGAACATGTTATTTTTTATGAAATACAAGACAGCAAAGGATGGCAGGTAGCAACGAGTGTGGGATTTCTCTCATCCTAAACTAAATATGCCAAAGCCAAGTGTGATATTTCCCTTCTCAGAAAATGAGAATTAGACTGGGTAAGAGGAAACTAGTAGCTTAAGGATGAAATCAACGTTCTGAGACCATTGACAGTGAACTAGAGGAGGCCGCATTTTCTGATATAAATTAGATCAGCATAATATGCAGATATAACCAGAAGCCATCCTATTTGCACGACTCAGTTATAAACTCACCAACTTATTGGGGGAGTCATTAACTCTCTTTACAATATTATAAAATTTTAGATGATATTGATTTTACATGTGATGTTCTCATAATCCATTTTAAAATCTAAATAAAGGTTTGCTGCTGATATCCCATTTTCTGTGATATAATTGGTCCCCGGTAAACAGATAAACATCCATCTGATTGACCTACCCAATGCCTGGTTCCTACCATGCAACATGTTACTGCCCCTTGGCCTTCCATTGTACATTGTCTTGGAACTCGGGCCATAGATTTCATCCCCCAGCTACTGGTTCCCTCATTCTCACTTTTGTCATACTTTTCTCCGCGCACATCAACTTATTCAGGTGACTTAAAAAATTGCTTCTGGAGTATCTGCACAAATGGCAACTTTAAGAAGGGTCTTGTACAGGGTTCCCCCTGTGAGTCAGAAGTAAAACCTGGAAAGGGTTTTGCAATAACGTACTGCTGTTAAAGTGGGAGGGGAGACCGGAGTGAGGCTCTGACCTGGGGATAGAAGGCAGGACTGCACTGAAAGAGGAATAGGGGAAGGAAAAAGAAGAAGGGTTACAGAAGAAGAAATTGGGAGGGGGGAACAAAATCAAAAGCAAAAGGAAAGAAGCAGGAAGAAGATGCAGAAAGAGTCAGGAAAGACAAGAGAAAGAATTAATATGAGGGTTGAACTATGAGGACCATTAAGAAGAATTTGGAGAACAAAAGCAAAGAAAAAGGAATGACAATTCTTAGCTTTTAATCCAGTGGGACATATTGGATTGGATTTGAGTGAATGGGCTCATGTCAACAGATAAGCAGGTTTTCTATGTGCCATATACTGGAAAAGCATAACGCCAGCTGTTAAAATAGACCAGAAACATGTTTGGCACCTGAGTCCATCTACTGTGGGCCAATAAGTGGCAGAAACAAGGATAAATGCCAGCTACAAATATTGCTTATTTGCACATTACATCAGTAGTGCTGGAAGTCGCATGCCAGCACTATTGAACAGAAACAGGCCCAGGGATTCAGCAATACAGTGTGAGTCTGTGTTCAAAAACAACACATCCTGCAGAACTAACAATGGTCAAAGTTTCAGTCCAGTGCCCATACTAAGTGGGAACCAAGGAATAGCACAAGGAAAGTATATTTCAGCTACAAAACTGAAGCAATCCCAAACAGAGTCCCCAGAAAAGTAAACCCTTTTTGCAGGAACATGTTGCATAAGAATCACATCGGTATTCTTGCCTGTTGTAATCCACGTAGCGAATCAAAATTGGATAGAAAGAATAGAGATCGCGACAGAGAACAGCAAACTCATCCAGAATTAGTAACTCAGTTTCTCGGGTATCTGACTTGACTTCTGCTTTCATCTGTTCTTCCTCCAAGACAACCTTTATTACTTTCTTCTTTAGTTTCTCCAGGGTTGGTATGAATTGGTTTTTCAACAATTCAGGTTTAGCTTTGCTTATGATTGGCTGAGCATACACTGGAAAATACAAAACACTAACACTGTTAGTAAATGAGGTTGTTGATTTGCTCGCCGAGCTGGCTTGTTTTCGTTCAGACGTTTCATCACTATGGTAGGTGACATCATCAGTGAGGCCTCCGATGAAGCAATGTTGTTCTACTCCGCTTGGAATTTATACTGTCTGGTCCGTTACGATGAGTAGTGTCATTTCTGGTTTTGATCTGTATGGGTTTGCATATGGGATCCAATTCTATATGTTTGTTGATTGCATTACGGGTTGAGAATCATGCCTCTAGGAATTCCCATGCATGTCTATGTCTGGCTTGGATTACCATGTGCCAATTAAACTGAGGGCCTTTATTGTCTGAATGAACTGATATTAAGGAAAGTTCCTTGTGCCTTTTTGCTGCTAGCTGATGCTCATGTATTCTGATGGCTAGTTTCCTTCCTGTCTGTCCAATGTAATGCTTGTGGCAGGCGTTGCATGGTATTTTGTAAACCACGTTGGTTCTGCATGTTGTGGGAGTGGGGTCTTTAATCCTTGTGAGTGTTTGTCGTAGAGTGGTTGTGGGCTTGTGTGCCACCGCAATTCCTAGTGGTCTTAGGAGTCTGTAGCTCCGACATGTTCTTGATGTGGGCAGTGTGGTCAGTGTGTTAGCACTGCAGATGCCTACTAAACAGACAACAACAGGAGGATACGGTACACCCTAACACATTGGCCACACTGCCCTACATTAAGAAATTAAGAACATATCAGAACTGACAAGACGAAACATCTGAATGAAAACAAGCCAGCTCAGCGAGCAAGTCAACAACCTTACCCACAACCTGAGCTACAAATCTTTGCCAAAACTTTAAACAGTTAGTTAATGTAATACATTAACATTGGGTCAGTGATACAATGATGGGTGTATGTTGGAAGCTGATTCCACAGGTAACTAGGTGTATCAAAATCCTCTTCACAGTCAATGTGCCTAATCTGGCTCAGTATAGTTGGCCAACACACAAAGCTTTCGGAATCTATGGTTTGCAACATCGATTAGGGAACTTTCATCATGATATTTGAGCCTGCTCCTCATTAGGTGGCTGGGCCACATGCAATGAGTAATGTTCCACTTGCTTAATGTCCACCACAAAATGTTCAGGGAAAAACTTATAACTATTTTATCTTTATGGCCCTGCACATTGCCACAAGGGAGCAGAATCTTAAAATTAAAGTTGATCCATTCAGGAGTGATATCAGAGTGCACCTCTTCACAAAAAGGTTCATGGAAGTTTGGAATTCTTTCAGTCAAAATTATTGTTAGTTAACATTTCAAGATGGAGAGAAAATAGATCATTCTTATGCGAGGTTATTAAGAGATACAGAATAACAATTGATAAATGGAGTTGATATACAGATTGACCATGATCCAAATGAATGATAGGACAGGTCCAAGGAGATGAAAAGGCACAAGTATGTTTGCAGTCATGATTTACTTTCAATGTAAAAGTGGCAGGATATCTGTGGTTTTCTACTATTAAGTGATGTTTGATATGAATTGCTCAGTGTTTAATATCAATCAAAACTTAAATACATTTATGTATATCTTTCATTAAAACAAAATGGATCTATTATTTAATTGAATATAGAGTGGAAAGTTGCATAGAAAGAATGTATAGATAAGTGTAGAAGACACTTAGGAAAAATTAATATATCAAAACAGGCTTCAAAGTATATTGTATTCTTACCTGCAAGTCTCTTCATCCAGGAAGCATCATCAATGCCCAGATTATTGTTCAAAATTTTCAGGATGTTGCCCAAGGTCACACTAAGATGTTCAGAAGTGACTACAGTACAGCAATTGCCAGTGGGTTGGTTCTCTGGGCCTCTTTCCCACCAGTACGACAGATAATTACATGACATGGGCAAAATAACTTCAATAATATGAGGTATTTCGGTATATCTGGCTCCAGATTCTGCCATATCAGTGATATCCTTTATTAGTGCATCTAGTTGAGGCATCTCTGGGCACACTTCCTCCACTGTATCTGGTAAGCCTAGAACTAGAAAAGCAATCAAAGTGTTATCCTTGCACTTCATGTTATAACTGCATTCCAGATTTATAAAGACAAAAACAGAAACTGTGTAAATAAAGAATATTCAGCAACAATAATTTGCATTTATATGGACATTTAATGGTCCTTTACAGAAGCATATTAAAAAGAAGAAACCATGACCAAGGTTGAGCTATTAAGTGAGGCAAGCTAAAGCTTTGCCAAAGAGTTTCTTTTTGAGGAAATTCTCATTGAAGAAAATGTAAGTGAATTTTTCTGGAATCTCAACAAAGCCAAGGACAATCAACCATTTCAGAACAACCTAGCAGGGAAAAATCGATGGAATTTTTTGGATTCTTGTCATTATTATTACGAGAACATTGGGGTCAGGGGTAAAAAGGCCAGTTGACTGGGTGGGACAGTTGGAGGCAGGAAGTCATGTTATGGACACTTTCAGGAATACATCCAGACCTTGCATCTTTAAAGGAGGAGGTGGAGTTTAGGGAAAGAATTCCAATAGATAGGGAGCAGAATGAAGGAAGGATGAACAAGAGATTAGAGTTTGAGCAGACAGCTTCAAATGGGATTCAAGGCTCGGGAGGTGGCAGAGTTGGGGGGAGTAGAGGTCCGAAGAAATTTAACGGCGAGAATGAGAGATCTTTTATTTGAGGCACTGGAATATCCTAGAGTTGTATACTGATCAGTAGGGACAGGGGTCTTAGATAAGTGGGGTTTGTTGTGGGATAAGCCTAACAGAGGTTTGAATAAACTGATGTCTAATTAACTGATATATATGATGTATACCAGTATGGAATCCTGGTCAAGTGAACAAAGTAAAAGCATATAACTAGGTCAGGATGTGCCAATAAAGGAACAGTTATAATGGTGACCAAAAGTCATGTGGCTCAACTTAACAAATATATGGTTAACGTAAAAGGCAAGGGCCCAGACTGTAGGAAAATGAATGGTTTCACACTGTGATATGAGGATTCCTGCTGCAAATTGGACAATTTCCATGTCATTGTGCTTGAAATCAGCACTGTTGCATGAGACTGCAGTTAGATCATGTCCAATTTTTGATCTGTCACATTCCCCAATTTCTGCTGGAGAAATAACTCTGCCTCTATGCACCTCCTGCCAGTTGTACACAATAGGTAAGAAAGGGACAGTTAACCACAATCCAGTAATTTCAGGCAGAATGAGAGAAAAAATTTCCAACCATAGGTTGGCGGGAACATGGAGCAGGATCTCATTGTGGAATTGTTCTCGCTTGGCGAACAGAGAGGTGGCGAGGGATTGCCGCTGCCTGGGTTCAGGAACTGCATGTAAACGAGGCCTTCCCACCCAGAATGTAAAGGAACAGCGTTCAGGAATAACACCAACACACTTAATTAAACAGCCTTCCCACCTCCAAGCTCAGCATCAGCGAGAATGGAAGATCTCACCCAAGGATCTTCTTGTCAGCTGAGGGGAACAAACATGCTACACGACAAATGTTTGACAGTTTACAATGTACAACATTCTGTAAACTAACACTTTCACTGTAGCTTGGGCTCCTTTTCTGGCCAATGCAATAATCTATACGAAAGAGAGTCAAATCATGCAATGGTAGCGTCCCTACACTGAGGCAGAGTGTCCTGACCTGTGCTCTGGAGGTATGTCAAAATTTATCCAAACAGATTGACTATGAAAGAACTCTCTTTTAAACCGGCAACTGAAGTTCAGGTTTATTTTCTGGCCAATGGGAATAATCTTTAGAAAAGGAGACAAAGTAGTCAGAAAACTGGGTTCAATTCCACCGATCTTGGAGGTGTGTCATAACATGCCCAAACAGGATGATTAAAAATAACTTGCTTTGGATTTCCATATGATTGAATACTTATGAATTTCAAAATGGGCAGAAGAAATAGGAGCAGAGTAGGCCATTCAGCCCCTTGAACCTGCCCCACCATTCAATAGGATCATAGCTGATCTGACATTTCTCATGAGACAACAAGATGCAGGGCTGGATGAACACAGCAGGCCAAGCAGCATCATAGGAGCAGAAAGGCTGACGTTTCCGGCCTAGACCCTCCATCAGAAAAGGGGGAGGGGAAGGGGGTTCTGAAATAAATAGGGAGAGAGGGGGAGGCGGATAGAAGATAGATAGAGGAGAGGATAGGTGGAGAGGAAACAAACACGTCGAAGAGGCGGGGATGGAGGCAGTAAACGTGAGTGTAGGTGGGGAGTTAGGGAGGGGATAGGTAAGTCCAGGGAGGATGGACAGGTCAAGGGGGCGGGATGAGGTTAGTAGGTAGGAGATGGGGGTGCGGCTTGAGGTGGGAGGAGGGGATAGGTGGGAGGAAGAACAGGTTAGGGAGGCGGGGACGAGCTGGACTGGTTTTGGGATGCGGTAGGGGGAGGGGAGATTTTGAAACTTGTGAAATCCACATTGATACCATTGGGCTGCAGGGTTCCCAAGCGGAATATGAGTTGCTGTTCCTGCAGCCTTCAGGTGGCATCGTTGTGGCACTGCAGGAGGCCCAGGATGGACATGTCGTCTGAGGAATGGGAGGGGAAGTTGAAATGGTTCGCGACTGGGAGGTGCAGTTGTTTATTGCAAACCGAGCGTAGGTGTTCTGCAAAGCGGTCCCCGAGCCTCCGCTTGGTTTCCCCGACGTAGAGGAGGCCACACCGGGTACAGCGGATGCAGTATACCACATTGGCAGATGTGCAGGTGAACATCTGCTTGATGTGGAAAGTCTTCTTGGGGCCTGGGATGGGGGTGAGGGAGGAGGTATGGGGGCAGGTGTAGCACTTCCTGCGGTTGCAGGGAAAAGTGCCGGGTGTGGTGGGGCTGGAGGGGAATGTGGAGCGGACAAGGGAGTCACGGAGAGAGTGGTCCC